CAAAGGAAATCATTGTTCTCATCACTGCTGGAGCTACTGATTTATTCATAGGAACATGGAATAATTCAGGTTGGGAGGGACCTTAAAGATGATCCCATTCCACTGTCCCAGCTTGCTCCAAGCCCCATCCTGGCATCCTGGAAGTGCCACAGCTGCTCTGGGCACCCTGTGCCAGGGCCTGCCAAGAATTCTTCTCTAGTAATTCTTAATATTATAATTTTTATTTTACAGAGCTCATCTTTACTCTTGTGTCTCCCCAAGAATGGAGCTGCAGCTGTTTATCCCCAGGCAAGCTCTTTTCCAATATCTGCACTTGCAGCAGGCAGCACAAAGGCTCAGTTCCAGATCCGACAGCATGACTGATGCAAGCTGTCAGCCAATATTTGACTTTCCAGGTGAGATTAGATTTAGCTTTTAATTTAATATAAACATAAGTGCAGTGCAAGGCACTTATTTCACAGGCACCTGCTCCCAGCCTTGTGCAGGCTCCTTAAAGACATCCCTGCTCTTTCTGGGGAGTTTCACCCCATTATCCAGTGGAGCTGGAAAATCCTGAATCTCCTCAGGGAAGGACACAGCAAAGGTAAGCTGATGCTACAAGTCTATTTTCTCCTGAAAAATGATAGCAATTTTTGATGGAAACCAAGGAAAAAGCAGGTTTCAGACAGTAAAGGCAGTTTGTATTTGTATTTTCTCATTTAGTTTCATTAATTACCTTTATCCTCTATATTTGAGGGAGTGTGAGGGAGTAACTGCAGAGGGATCCTCCTGTACGTGTACCTGAGCCCCTGTGTGCACAAAGGCTGAATTCCTGAATTCCTGAATTCCTGAATTGGAACACATCCCAAATTTAATTAGCGATGAAAATTCAGTGCCTCTTCCCCTTGGATGCAGCCAACTCCTTGTTCTTGAGGACTGGACTGGGAACAAAGGGATTTGGGGGAAAGATTTCCACAGGTTTTAGGGCTTGGCTGGTCTGGAGAGATGAAGGAATTGCTCACATTAAAGTGGGACAGCGTGGGTGGGAATGGGATCCATGTGGGAATGGGATCTGTGTGGGAATGGGATCTGGTGGGAATGGAATCTGTGTGGGATCTGTGTGGGAATGGGATCTGGTGGGAATGGGATCAGGTGGGAATGGGATCTGTGTGGGATCTGTGTGGGAATGGGATCTGGTGGGAATGGGATCTGTGTGGGAATGGGATCAGGTGGGAATGGGATCTGGTGGGAATGGGATCATGTGGGAATGGGATCCATGTGGGAATGGCTCTGGTGGGATTGGGATTTGTATGGGAATGGGATCAGTATGGGAATGGGATCTGGTGGGAATGGGATCTGGGTGGGAATGGGATCTGGTGGGAATGGAATCTGTGTGGGATCAGTATGGGAATGGGATCTGTGTGGGAATGGGATCTGTGTGGGAAGGAATTCTGGAGGGGGACTTTCCTCCTGTGGGACACACACCTGGTTCATGGGGTCTGAGCAGCACTGGGGTCTGAACTTTGGGATAAATGGGATCAAACATGGCTTTGCAGTACCAGGCAGTGTCTCTTCCCCTGAGGCCACTCCAGGGATGGAGTCTCAGCCTCCCTGTCCCTCCCATGGCTTTGTCTTGTCCTCAGGAGCAATCCTTCCTCCCTGGTGGATTCCCCTCTGTAGGGAAGGGACAGTGCCACAAACGCTGTGCCAGGGCCATGGGGGCTTCACCAAAGTGTCCCCAGAGCAAAGGGACCTGAGTGGGCTCCAGGATGGGCAGAGGGATGGAGCAGCTCTGCTGGCAGGAAAGGCTGGCACAGCTGGCATTGCTCACCTGCACAGGAGAAGCTTTGGGCTGAGCTCAGGGTGGCCTTGCAGGGCCTGGAGGAGCCCCAGGAAAGCTGGAGAGAGACAATGGCCAGGGGATGCAGGGACAGCACACAGGGAATGGCTGCCAGTGCCAGAGGGCAGGGCTGGGTGGGATCTTGGCAATGAGGAATTGTTCCCTGGCAGGGTGGGCAGGGCTGGGATGGAATTCCACCCCTGCATCCCTGGCAGTGCCCAAGGCCAGGCTGGACACTGGGGACAGTGGGAGGTGTCCCTGCCCTGGCAGGGGTGGCACTGGGTGGTTTTAAGGTCCCTTCCAGCCCAAACCATTCCATGATTGTGAGCAGGACCTCCTTGGGTCTCTGGACATACTGAACCACTCAGAGATGGGGATTCTCAGCTGAGCTACAGCTGCACCTTCAAGAGTCAGAAGGTGATGTTACCAGATAATTGACATAACACCAACAAAATACTCCAAACCAACTCTTTTAATGCAGACATCTGATTAAAAAGAATATTTTCTTGTCTTTAGCAGCATAATTGGCGAGGATGACCAAGCTGCAGAACTTCACTTGGGCAGTGGAAGATATTTTCAAGGAAACCTTCCTCAATTACATGAACAGCTGGAGGAGGAACATGACAGAAGCGGCGGACAAACTGCAGGCTGAGGTGGCTGCTGAAAACTTTGACTACGTTATCCTGTACCTGATGGTGATGATTGGGATGTTCTCCTTCATCATCGTGGCCATCCTGGTGAGCACTGTGAAATCCAAGAGGAGGGAGCACTCCAATGATCCCTACCACCAGTACATCGTGGAGGACTGGGGGGAGAAGTACAAGAACCAGGTGCTGAACCCAGAAGATCTCAAGTGCGTGGTCCATGAAAACCTGGGGGCAAGGGATAAAACAAGCCCAGAGTCACCCTGACTTTCTGGAAACGCCAGCAGTGAGGGATTCGTGGAGTCACACAGAGGGAACTCACCGGAATTCCAAAGAGCTGTGCAAGTGTTGATTCAATTTGCACACTGGAATTCCAAAGAGCTGTGCAAGTGTTGATTCAATTTACACACAGGTCAATGGACAATGGAGTCCTGAGGAAATCAATGTCATGGTTCCTGTGAAAGTCCAAGAAAAATTTGTGATTGTTCTTCCCTTTGATAGCCTGTCCTTTGGGAAAATAAAGGCATGACAGGGATAACTTGATTATTTGCAGATCTGGATGTTCCCACCTCAGAATAACTGTGAATTAGTGCTGGTCAAAAGTGCCAATTTAGATCCAAACTGTGTGACTTAAAACCACTTGAAAAATAACCTGAAAATATCCATTAAAATCTCCAATCTCCACGCATTGACTGAAGAAGCAATTAGGGAACAGTGAAAAACGCCAATCACTTGTTTTTAAAATTTTGGAAGTTTAATAGTAATAAAATGGTTATAAAAATAGCAATACAATTAGAGTAATAATAATTTGGACAATTTGGATTAGGACAATATGAGACAATAAAAACAAAGAATTACAGACAGTCTGGGTACCTTTTTCTGGGCAGCACAAGCCCAAAAAAGGCCCCACGTTAACAGAGGATTAACCCTTAAAAACAGTAACCTGTTGCATATTCATACACCTCATCCATGATGCATAAATTCCATTCAAACACAGGATTCTGGCTGGTCATCTCTTCCCCTAAATCCTAGCAGCACCTTTGAGGTGGGAAGAAGTTCATTTCTTGTGATAATGGAGCAATAAATTCTCTTTCTCTGAAAGATTCAGGTGTCCTGTGGCTGCTGTCTCACTGCAAGTCCTTTCTTTAAAAAAAAGTATGTTACATAAAATAGTTTCCATTTGAACATTTTTTATAACCTAAAACTATATTTAACACAGTACTTAAGAGAATTAATACAGCATTACTTTCTAACATAACACATATAATATTCATTTGAATATTTGTGAAAAGCCAATCATAAAATAGGCATTTTTCACAGGAATGAATCACAGGAGGGACCTGATACCTGCACACACTCACTCCCGACTCCTTTTGAGTGATCTGATCCCTATTTTCGCTCGTGTTAAATAAAAAATGACAAAGAGCTTCTTTTCTTTGGGAGCCTGTGGCTTGTCTTGGACACAGATTTGGAGATTTGAGCTGATGCCACCCCTCTGTGGATGTGCTGGAGGTGCAAAAGCAGCACAAGCAGCAGGCTGGAGGAAGGGATTGTCTTCTCTGCTCGGGTGAGAGCTGACCTGCAGAGCTGCCCCTGGATCATCACCAGACAAAGGCGGAGCTGCTGGGAGAGCTGGGGGTGCTCACCTGGACAGGAGAAGCTCCAGGGAGAGCTCAGAGCCCCTGGCAGGGCCTGAAGGGGCTCCAGGAGAGCTGCAGAGGGACTTCTCACATAGGAATGTATTGACAGGACACGGGGAAATGGCCTTAAATTGAAGGAGGGCAGGTTTATGTCAGATGTTAGGAAGAAATTCTTTAGTGTGAGGGTGGTGAGACCCTGACACAGGCTGCCCACAGAGAGGATGTGGACTCCACATTCCTGCAAATGTTTAAGGCCAGGCTGGACAGGGCTTGGAGCAGTCTGGGATAGTGGAAGATAACCAGGCTGCTCCAAGCCCCAGTGTCCAACCTGGCCTTGGGCACTGCCAGGGACCCAGGGACACCCTGTGCCAGGGCCTGCCCGCCCTCCCGGGAGGAAATTGTTCCTAATATCTGACCTAAAGCTGTAATTTTCCAGTTTGAGGCCATTCCCTGTGTGCTGTCCCTGCATCCCCTGGCCATTGTCTCTCTCCAGCTTTCCTGGGGCTCCTCCAGGCCCTGCAAGGCCACCCTGAGCTCAGCCCAAAGCTTCTCCTGTGCAGGTGAGCAATGCCAGCTGTGCCAGCCTTTCCTGCCAGCAGAGCTGCTCCAGCCCTCTGCCCATCCTGGAGCCTCCTCTGGGCTCTCTGCAGCAGCTCCAGCTCCTCCCTGGGCTGGGGCAGCTCTGCAGGTGGGGAATCACCTGTGGGGCACAGGGACACAATCCCAATCCCAATCCCAATCCCAACCATATCCCAATCCCCAGCTGGGGGCATGGGGGTCTCCGGGACCTCTCCGCGGTCCCTGCCGGAGCTGTTTTATGGCAGAACTGTTAAATTTGAGGGAGAAGAGCGGGGCCCCGCCATGCCCAGCGCGGCAGCCGAGCGGGCGGAGCGGCCTCGGCCGGGCCCGGCGCTGCCGCTGCCGGGAGCTCCGTGAGGGAGCGCCGCCCCCGCTGCCATGGCCGCCCGCAGGTAGGACCGGCCTGGGCCCCTTCCTTTCCTCCTTCCTTCGCTTCCTTCTTCCTTTCTCTCCCCTCACGGCCCCGCGGGGCTCCGGCAGAACCCCGCCCGCATCGCCGCCGGCCCCGAGCGCTCCGCTCCCCGCAGCCTCGGCCGCTCCGCGGGGCCGGGCCCGCTGCCTGCCCTGCCCTCCCGGGCCTTCCCCTGTCCCTTCTCCACCGCCTCTTTGCCCTCCAGGCCTCGTCCTTTCTCTCCAATTCCCCTCCTGTCTAATCCACCCTCCCTTCCCTCTCTCCAGTCCCTTCCGTGTTGCTCACCCCGCTTTCCTCCATCTCCAGCCCCTCTTTGCCCTCCAGCCGCCCTTGCTCTCAGTCCCCTTGTTCCGTTGTTCTCCAGCGTCCTCCTTGCTCTCCAGCCCCGTTACTTGATATTCGCCTTTCCCTCCTTGTTTACCAGCCCCCTTTACTAGTTTTCCATCACCTTTCTTCTTTTCCAGGCCCTCTATTCTTGTTCTCCACTCCTTGTCTTCCCCCTCAGCCTCCCCCTCCTTATTCTCCCCTTACTCTGCAGCCCCCATTTCTTGTTCTCCAGCCCCCATTTCTTGTTCTCCAGCCTCCATTCCTTGCTCTCCAGCCCCCTTACTTGATATCCACCTTTCTCTCCTTGTTCACCAGCCACCTTTCCTGGTTTTCCATCGCCTTCCTTCCTCTCCAGGCCCTCCATTCTTGTTCTCCGCTCCCTGCCTTTCCCCCTCCGTATTCTCCAGCCCCCATTCCTTGTTCTCCAGTATCCCTCCTTTCTCTCCAGCCCCAACTCCTTATTCTCCCCTTATTGTGCAGCCCCCATTCCTTGTTCTCCAGCCCCCATTCCTTATTCTCCAGCCCCCATTCCTTGTTCTCCAGCCCCCGTTCCTTGTTCTCCAGTATCCCTCCTTTCTCTCCAGCCCACCCTTCCTTGCTCTCCAGCCCCTTTCCTTGCTCTGCACCCCCTGCTTTTCTTGCTTTCCACCTCTCTCCTTGTTCCTCAGTCCCTTCCTTCTGCTCCAGCCCAGGACAGAGCTGGGCTGGGATCCAGGGAATTGTCTGCCCACCGTCCCTAATTCCCAATATCCCATCCATCCCTGCCCTCTGGCAGTCTAAAACCATCGCCCCTTGTCTTGGCAATCTCTGCCCATATAAAAAGTCCCTCTCACTCCTTTTCAGCACTGGAAGGGGCTCTAAGGTCTCCCTGGAATTGTCCCTTCTCCAGGCTGGACAATCCCAGTTCTCCAGCCTCTTTCCAGAGCAGAGGGGCTCCAATTTTGGGATCATCTTTGTGATGCCATGGTGGGAGAGTCTGATGTGCCCCTGGCATTTCTGGGTTTGGTTTGATTTTAATCCAGCCAATGTGAATGAAACATCCCATCTGCTCTGTTCCTGTTTTCCAGAGTTTGGAGTATGTGAGGAGCTGCCAGAGGAATCACTCATATTTTAATTTCTGCTTCATCAGGTATGAAGATCTTGATGGTTTTTTCAATTGTTTTGATGTTGCTTGAGTTGGAACCTTGAGTTGATCCAAAATCAGAATCAGAATCAGGTGTGGGTTGGAAGGGACCTTAAAGATCATGTCATTCCAAGCCTGTCATGAGTAGGGACACCTTCAGAGTCCCATCCAGCCTGGCCTTGGTGAGTAATATAATATAATATAATATAATATAATATAATATAATATAAATATTATTATATTTTATTATTTTGTTATTTTATTATTATATATTATTCTGTACCTCTAAAACTGAATCTGCCAAGCACTCAACCCTGTACACACTGCCCAGAATCTGTGACTGTCACCCAGCAGTCCTCACACACACACACACACACACACACCTGGCCCTGACAGGCCAAGGAAACCAAACCCCATCACTGTGCGTAAACAATCTCCATGCTGCATTCTGCTTTTGCACAAACACAAGCACAGCAAATGAGATAAAAAATTTTTTTCCCTTTCTCTGAGGTTCAGAGAACGTGAATCCCAGAAATATTCTTGGGAAGAACTGTGCCTTGCTTTTCTCGGTGAAGAGAAATGTGGGGCTGCATAAAACTGCAGAGGGGATCCCTGCCAGCCTGGGGCTGTTTGATGCCAGCTCTGGAGCACCTGCCAGGGAATCCCTGGTGCTGCTGTCCCTGCTCCCGTGGCTGCACAAGGAGCAGGGGATGGATGGAGCAGTGCCCTTGTGTGGGGCCCAGCCCTGGCATTTCCCTGGGCAGGGAACAATGCCTGCCTGTGGATGTGTGCCCTGCTCCTTTCTGTGCCTTATCTCCTCAGGAAAGGCAAACACTCCATTCCAGCTGTTGATTTAAGATATCCCAGCCTTGAAAAAGCAGCGTTGGGGCTTTGTGCTCTTGCACTGATGACCTCAGTGCTCATAAGTGGTGGTTTTTAAGTGTGAAGGGAATCCTAGAATCCTGGAAAGGTTTGGATTGGAAGGGATTTCAAAGTCCATCCATGGGCAGGGGCACCTTGCACTAATCCCAGGCTGCTCCCAGCCCCAGTGTCCAACCTGGCCCTGGGCTTTCAAATCCTCCCCTTTCCCCCCTTTCTTCCCTCTTCCCACTTTGTTCTCCCTGCCCTGTGCTGCTTTTTATCAATCCTGAGGTTTCCAGTGGATTTCATGAGGGCTGGGATCAGAGGGGGGCTGGAAAGGCCAGGGGAGGATGTGGGATGTGGGAATGCAGCCTGAATTGGAGGGAGCAGTGACATCCCCACTGCACAGGACACTGTGGGGACAGAGCAGCACAGGTGGCAGCTCTGGGAAACTTCCTGGGATTGCAGCAAACATGGAAAGAGACTTTGGGCAAGGGATGGAGGGACAGCACACAGGGAATGGCCTCAGGCTGAAGGAGGGCAGGGCTGGGTGGGATCTTGGCAATGAGGAATTGTTCCCTGGCAGGGTGGGCAGGGCTGGGATGGAATTCCATCCCTGGCAGTGCCCAAGGCCAGGCTGGCCACTGGGGACAGTGGGAGGTGTCCCTGCCATCTCCAAGGTCCTTCCAAGCCAGACCATTCCATGATTCCATGAAGTGAGGATACATTTCCTTGGAGGTGTAACGGCAGTGGCTGTTCACAGCCACCCTGACACGTCCTCAGCAGGAGAAGGAGCTGCACAACAGGATCAGCACAGGAACCGTGACTGATGGACAGGAATTTACTGGTGGCTGCCACTCCAGGGCGTTGGTACAGCTGGGTCTTGGTCACTCTGGAGGAGTGGGAATGTTTCCAGAGGGGTCTCAGCAGGCTGAGAGGGAAAAGGAGAAAAGGAGAGGAGAGGGTGCTCTGGCTGGAGAAATTAGAAAATCTCCCCAGAAACTGAGCTGCAAGAACATTTAATTTCTGCAGGGAGCTCAGCAGCTGCTCTCTGCTGCGGTGCTGATTTATTCAGCCCAGCTTTTCACGGTGCTGGAGTGTTCTCTCCTGCTTTCCCACTCTTGCTCCATGGACAGAAAAGGCCTCCAGGGGTTAATTTGGATTCCAGCAGCTGAGCAGAGAGCCCAGGGCAGTGCTGTGTGTGCTGCAGCCTTTCCATCCCAGCAATTGAGCTCTGCAATGCTTGGTGAGCACTCAGGGCTCCGGGGACTGCTTGCTTTGCTCACCTCTATATTTATAAACTATTAGTGTGGAGAATTCAATTTATCAATCACAGGGGATTGAGAAATTAGAGGATTCATTCCATGTTCAGGCTCCAGACAGAGCAGGTGGGCTTGGGAAGCCTCAGAGCAGCCCGGGGCAGCTCCTGTGAGTCCCTCAGCGCAGCAGGGGCAGCACACCCAGCCCTGCTCTCCACGTTCTCCATGGGCAGCTGCCAGGGGGTGCAATTGCAGCCCCACAGCTGCCCTGGGCTGGCACTGCCCTGCCCTGGCCCTGAGCTCACTGGGACTGCTGGGACGAGCCCTCCCAGCCAGGGGGGAATTAGCAGCTTGCCTGATCCTCCTCCCATTTCTGGTTCTCCAGCAGTCCATTCTGCTTTGTTTTCCATTTCTCCAAGAGTTCATTCTGCCTTTGTTTCCATTTCTGCAAGAGTTCAATCTGCCTTTGTTTCCATTTCTGCAAGAGTTCATTCTGCTTTGGTTTTTATTTCTCCAAGAGTTCATTCTGCTTTGTTTTCCATTTCTCCAGGAGTTAATTCTGCTTTGGTATTTATTTCTCCAAGAGTTCATTCTGCTTTTATTTCCCATTTCTCCAAGAGTTCATTCTGCTTTTTTTTTCCATTTCTGCAAGAGTTAATTCTGCTTTGTTTTCCATTTCTGCAAGAGTTCATTCTGCTTTTTTTATCCATTTCTGCAAGAGTTCATTCTGCTTTATTTCCCATTTCTCCAAGAGTTAATTCTGCTTTGTTTTTTCCATTTCTGCAAGAGTTAATTCTGCTTTGTTTTTTCCATTTCTCCAGGAGTTAATTCTGCTTTGGTTTTTATTTCTCCAAGAGTTCATTCTGCTTTGTTTCCCATTTCTCCAAGAGTTAATTCTGCTTTACTTCCATTTTTCCAAGAGTTCATTCTGCTTTGTTTTTTCCATTTCTGCAAGAGTTAATTCTGCTTTTCTTCCATTTCTGCAAGAGTTAATTCTGCTTTATTTTCCCTTTCTCCAAGAGTTCATTCTGCTTTTATTTCCATTTCTCCAAGAGTTAATTCTGCTTTACATTCCATGTCTACAAGAGTTCATTCTGCTTTATTTCCCATTTCTCCAAGAGTTCATTCTGCTTTTTTTTTCCATTTCTGCAAGAGTTAATTCTGCTTTATTTTCCCTTTCTCCAAGAGTTAATTCTGCTTTGTTTTTTCCATTTCTGCAAGAGTTCATTCTGCTTTTATTTCCATTTCTGCAGGAGTTAATTCTGCTTTATTTTCCCTTTCTCCAAGAGTTAATTCTGCTTATATTACCCATTTCTGCAAGAGTCAATTCTGTTTTATTTGCCATTTCTGCAAAAGTTCATTCTGCTTTGTTTTTTCCATTTCTGCAAGAGTTCATTCTGTTCTTTTTCCCCCCATTTCTCCAAGAGTTCATTCTGCTTTATTTTCATTTCTCCAAGAGTTCATTCTGCTTTATTTTCCATTTCTGCAAGAGTTCATTCTGCTCTGCTTTCATTTCTCCAACAGTTCATTCTGCTTTTACTTTCCATGTCTCCAAGAGTTCATTCTGCTTTCATTTCCCCCCATTTTCCAAGAGTTAATTCTGCTTTGTTTTCTGTGCCTCCAAGATGCTCCTGCCCTGCCCTGTGCCTCCAGGAGTGTGACCCCCCAGTCCTGGGGCTGCCCACAGCTGAGATGGTGGCCTTCAACTGGAAGGTGAGGCTGGGGCAGGTTCCCACAGCAAAGCAGGGATTGCTGCTCCTTCCATGGGCTGGGTGGGATCTGATGGTTCCTTTTCCATGGGAGGGTTCCCAGGTCAGGGATTGCTGCTCCTTCCATGGGCTGGGTGGGATCTGATGGTTCCTTTTCCACGGGAGGGTTCCCAAATCAGGGATTGCTGCTCCTTCCATGGGCTGGGTGGGATCTGATGGTTCCTTTTCCATGGGAGGGTTCCCAAATCAGGGATTGCTGCTCCTTCCATGGCTTGCGTGGGATCTGATGGTTCCTTTTCCATGGCAGGATTCCCAGATCAGGGATTGCTGCTCCTTGCATGGGGATGTGTTGGGTGGGATCTGATGGTTCCTTTCCCAGGGAAGGGTTGTTTAACCCCCACCCTCTCAGGGACAGGGGATTTGGGGATTTCTTCTTGTCCTTCCTTGCCCATGTTAGACCTGAGCTCTGCTCAGCCCTGCTGCTCCTGCCTTTCCTCTTGCCCGGCTTTTCCCTGGCTGCTCTTCCCTCAGCTGCTTTTGTTACTGGAGGGGAACTTCTCCCACTGTGTTTTTGGGGTTTTGGGGTCATTGTGTCAGTGCTGGAGCAGGTTCCTCCTGCATGGAGCTGTTGGGACAAGGCCATGGAGGCTCCAGGATGGGCAGAGGGATGGAGCAGCTCTGCTGGCAGGAAAGGCTGGCACAGCTGGCATTGCTCACCTGCACAGGAGAAGCTTTGGGCTGAGCTCAGGGTGGCCTTGCAGGGCCTGGAGGAGCCCCAGGAAAGCTGGAGAGAGACAATGGCCAGGGGATGCAGGGACAGCACACAGGGAATGGCTGCCAGTGCCAGAGGGCAGGGCTGGGTGGGATCCTGGCAATGAGGAATTGTTCCCTGGCAGGGTGGGCAGGGGCTGGCATGGAATTCCATCCCTGCATCCCTGGCAGTGCCCAAGGCCAGGCTGGACACTGGGGACAGTGGGAGGTGTCCCTGCCATGGATCTGGATGAACTCTGAAATCCCTTCCAGCCCAAACCATTCCAGGACTCTGTAATTAACAATTTGAGCTCATTAAATCAAACTTTCCCCCTGCGCTGGTGCTGCAGAGCTGCTGCCTCTGTGGTTGTGGACACATGGACAGAGCCTGGTGCTGTTTTCCAAGCTCCCTGCTGGTGCAGGGACACAAGGCTTGGCCTCAGTTCAGAGCTTTGATGTGTCCTGACAGCTCTGGGAGCTCCTGAGGGAACAGGGGGAATTCCAAGTTCAGATTTAGCACAGAACCTTGGAATATCCTGCTGGGAAGGGACCACAGGGATCACCCAGCCCAGACCCCAGCAACCCCGCCCCGTCCCTGGGGGGCTGCTCAGTGCCCACCACCCATTTCCATTGCATTTTCCTCTCCAAGTTTATGTTTTTATAGCATTGAAACACTCTGTGCAACTCCAGGCATTCAGCAATCCTTGGATTTTTTCCCTTTTCTCCCAGTTTCAAGTCATTTATCTGCCCCTTCCGTTTCTCAGCAGGTTCATTGCAGAATTGCTGTGAGTTAAGATTTCCTGGGGTGTTTTTGGGGATCCCATCTGAGAGCTGATCCCCAGGGATCCTTCACTTGTGAGGATTCTTCAGCAGCTTTTCCACTTGCACAATTTCCCTAAAATACCCAGCTCTTCCATTTTTTCAGCTCCAGATGGTGCAAATATTGCTGGAAAATGAGCAAAAGGAGTTCAAGACTTGAGGGAAAGGGTGTTTCTTTTTTTTTGCTTTGTTGCTCTGCCTGGTTTAATTCCCCACACAAATAAAAAACCATGGTGAGAGAGGAGCATTAATATTGGAATGGAAGATGCAGAGCATCCCTATAAATGAAATTTTAATTGTCCAAGTGTTCCAGAAGTGCCTAAACAGATTCTTTGGCATTGCAGGCTCTGGAGAACTTCCCACTGCTGATGTACATTTTGGCAGCTAAAACATTGATCCTTTGCTTGGCCTTTGCTGGAGTCAAAATGTACCAGAGCAAGAAAATTGAGGAGAAACTGAAGAGGGAACGTGAGGAGAAACTGAAAGCAGAAGCAGAGAAGAAGGATGAGTGAAGAGTGCCTCAGGTGTGGAATTGATTGGGCTTGGACATTGTTAATCCCAGTGGGATTGAGTTGGATTTTGGATCCCAAAGTGAGCTCTTGGGATGTTTCAGGGATTTGCTGTCTCATTTTCTGTGGGACTTGCATGAGCCACTGTCCTGTTTGAGGATGTTTGAGCACAATGTTCCCTCTCTGGTTTTATCTGCCTGGTGCACAAAGAGAGGGATAAATTGGGAATAACTGCAGGGGAGCAGGCAGGCGGGACGCTGCAATCAGAGCTCTGGGCTTGAAAGCAATAAATAAAGAGAGAAAATAAATAATCAGCCCATTTCTAGAGGAGAGAAATCATTGACAACTTGGGGAGGGTTTAGCTGGAAAGGACAAATCCCACACCTGGAATTCCCAAAGGGACAGGTTCTGCTGTGGAACATCCACCATGTAGAATTCCCTGAGAAAAATGCACATTTTTCTGCTTGAAAGAGCAAAGTGAACATGACAAAATCCCCTAAATTTGGGATTCTCGTTCTGAAATTCCCGAGTTCCTCCCCTCTGTTTCCAAGGCTGAAGCAATCCCTGCATTCTTGGAGCAGATCCATGAGCAGAGTGAGTCCTGCCTGCTGCTTGGATTCTATTCCCTGCCCTGCTTGTCATTTTTGGAGCAGTTTGCTTCACTTCTCCCTGTTCTGCAGCAAAATGGGAATTCTATTCCTGCCTGCCCTTTGGAAACTCAGTGGGAGTTTGATGTCATGTTGCTCTTTATTGAAATAAAATCTTATTTCCCTTTCTGAGGTCATCCCCTCCCATCTAAAGACACTTCAAATCTTTCCTCAATTTTATTTCCACCCTGCCACTCTTTTATTCCCTTTATTCCCAAGGATTGGGAATGGTGCCTAGAAATGAGGCCCTGGGAATAACCATGGGAATAAAGATTTCTCTATTTACACACAAAAAAACCAAAAACAAAACAACAAAAAAGCCCAGCAAAACCAAAGGGGTTTTTCATGCTTCCAGCAGGTTCAGGACTTTGGGGCAGATTTTGGGCACTTCCCTGGCAAAGGAAAGGTTGTGCAGGGCTGGGAGCAGCCTGGGGTAGTGGGCAATGTCCCTGCCCATGGATGGGATGAGCTTTAAGATCCCTCTAACCCAAACCAGCCCTGCATTCTGGGGTTCTGTGCAGTTTTATCCCAGGGAATTCTGTTTGGCAAACCCCACAGCTCCAGGATCATCACACAAACCCTCAGTGCCCAGCAGGTGACACCACCCTTGGTGTTAAAACCTCTCTGATTGCACAGAAATTCCCTTCCCAGTCCCCAGAGCTGCCTTGTCCTTGCTAAACTCTGGGATTCAGAGGGAGGAATTCCCCCATGGAGCTGGGAACAGCTCCAGAGGTGCCCAGTGAACACTGGAGCTCCTGCCCCTGCTCTTCTCACTGCTCTGTCCCCTGCAGGTTCCGCACACTTGGATTCCCCTCCCAGCAGGATGAAGCCTTCCTTCAGGAAAAGAAGGATGGGTAACCTCAGAGTGACACTTCAATTATCTCTGTTTTTATATGTACAAAGCAGCTGAGCCTCTATTTATGCAATAAAAAAAAATGTCTTTGTTTAAAAAGTAAACGTGGGTGCTGCTGCTTCCTCAAAGGATTGGAGCTGCAGGGGAGGCACTTGGGGAGGATCAGCTGCAAGGAGGTGGTTGGGATGGAAGAGGAAAAGGGAAAAATGGAGGAGAAAAATGCTCTGGATGCATCCTGGGAGGCTCCTGGAGAGGCAGAAGGAGGGGGAGAGGGCTCAGTGCAGCTTTTGCAGCTGCCTCCTGCAAGGGCCAGGCTGTGGGTCCTGCCTGGAATCAGGAGGGCAATCCCAGGAGAGGAGCAGCTCCAGGCTCCTGGTGCATCCTGCACTTCCTTGGGCCCATGGGGATCACAGGAGGGGTTTCATGGCAGGAATTTTATCCCCAAAAAAATCTCTTTGGTTCCCTGTTCTCTGCTCAGCCTGGGGCAGCTGTTCCTGCCTCTGCTGTGGCACCAAATCCTGGGGATCTTGGGCGTGGAGTCCTGGAATGGTTTGGGTTGGAAGAAACCTAAAATCACCAAAAATCACCAAAAATCACCTTGTTCCACCCCTGCCATGGCAGGGACACCTCCCACTGTCCCAGGTGCTCCCAGCCCCAGTGTCCAACCTGGCCTTGGGCACTCCAGGGATGCAGGGATGGAATTCCATCCCAGCCCCTGCCCACCCTGCCAGGGAACAATTCCTCATTGCCAAGATCCCATCAAATCCTGCTTTGAAGCCATTCCCTGGGTGCTGTCCCTGCAGGCCTTGTCCCCAGTCCCTCTGCAGCTCTGCTGGAGCCCCTTCAGGCCCTGCCAGGGGCTCTGAGCTCTCCCTGCAGCTTTTCCATCTCCTGGACACTCCCAGCTCTCCCAGCCTGGCTCCAGAGCAGATTTAGGTTCCTAACAGAGAATTAGAGAAACAACAATAAAGGCTCAGGTGTGGCAGTGCCTCAGGGACCTTCACTTCCCCATTTCCATTCCAAAACACTTCCTAGACCCTTCTGGGAGTTAAGGAGAAGCAGAATTTTTCCAGTGCAGTGGGGAGAGGAGGGAGGAAAGCCCTGAGCTCAGCCCTCACCTGGGCAGGGAGCACTGGGGATGCTCAGGGAGCTCCCTGGAAGTGCAGGGATGTTCAAATCTCCCCTTTCCTGCTGTCTCCTTGGAGACTGGAGAACAAAAGCAGTGCAGAAAGGCATTCCCAGCCCAGAGAAACGTCCTGCAGTGCAATACCCTGCTGGATCCTGGAGAAATGCCCTGGATCCCAGAGAAATGCCCTGGATCCTGGAGAAATACCCTGGATCCTGGAGAAATGCTCTGGATCCTACAGAAATGCCCTGGATCCTACAGAAATGCCCTGGATCCTGGAGAAATGCCCTGGATCCTACAGAAATGCCCTGGATCCTGGAGAAATGCCCTGGATCCTGCAGAAATGCCCTGGATCCTACAGAAATGCCCCGGATCCTACAGAAATGCCCTGGATCCTACAGAAATGCCCTGGATGCTGGAGAAATGCATGCCAAGGTGAACTGGGGGGGTTGAATTCAGTTCCTGGCGTGGCACAGCCCGTGCCCACCTCCCTGAGGGAAACTCAGGAGTTCTGCCCCAAATCTCCCTGCTCTGCTGGCACCAGGGGCTTGGCTCTGTGCACTCACTGGTTATTTTTGGATATTTGCCCCAATCTGGAGTGTTTAGGCTGTCCAGAGTAGATTTTTCTAGGAAAAAAAAATAAATAATAGTGATGAGGATTTTTTTTTTAGCTTTTCAGCTACTGTTTTGTGAGCAGAAATCACAATCTCCCTTTGCAGCCCCATTTACCACCAAAGCCACTGGGCACCATTTAGCACCCAAAGCAATCAAGTCTGGCTTAAATTCGCCCCTGCCAAAGGTGTGCAAGAAAGGAATTTAATTCCTTTAGCTCTTTTAAGCTAAAGCTCTTTTTTTGCCCCTGAATATGGGGGACGGAGCTGTGAGGAGTCTCCTCAGAAATCCTGCAAATTCCTGCACATTCTCTGCAGCCAAATCAGAAAAACCTTTGCAGGTAAAAGACTTCAAATCTACTCCAGCCTGATTTTTAGAATCCCAGAGTGGTTTGGGGTGAGAAGGATTTTAAGGATCACCCAGTGCCACCCCTGCCATGGCAGGGACACCTCCCACTGTCCCCAGTGTCCAGCCTGGCCTTGGGCACTGCCAGGGATGCAGGGGCAGCCCCAGCTGCTCTGGGAATTCCATCCCAGCCAGGAATTTCCTCCCAATATCCCACCCAGCCCTGCCTTCCTCCTGCTTGAGGCATTCCTACATTTCAGTGTAACATCAGAGCTTGGGATGGGGGATATCCAACAATTTCCAGGATAAGAGATGGTCTTGTGCAGTCCTGTCCCTTCCCAAACTGATCCATGGCTGTTCCCATCCTGTCCCCAAGCTGAGCCATGGCTGTTCCCATCCTGTCCCCAAACTGAGCCATGGCTGTGCCCATCCTGTCCCCAAGCTGAGCCATGGCTGTTCCCATCCTGTCCCCAGACTGAGCCATGGCTGTTCCCATCCTGTCCCCAAACTGAGCCGTGGCTGTTCCCAATTCTGTCCCCAAACAGACCCATGGCCATTCCCAGTCCTGTCCCTTCCCAAACAGATCCATGGCTGTTCTCAATCCTGTCCCCAAACAGACCCATGGCTGTTCCCATCCTGTCCCCAAACAGACCCATGGCTGTTCCCAGTTCTGTCCCCAAAATGAGCCATGGCTGTGCCCATCTTGTCCCTTCCCAAACAGACCCATGGCCGTTCCCATCCTGTCCCCAAACTGAGCCGTGGCTGTTCCCAGTCCTGTCCCCAGACTGATCCATGGCTGTGCCCATCCTGTCCCCAGACTGATCCATGGCTGTTCCCATCCTGTCCCCAAACAGACCCAAGGCTGTTCCCATCCTGTCCCCAAACTGAGCCATGGCTGTTCCCAGTCCTGTCCCCAGACTGATCCATGGCTGTGCCCATCCTGTCCCCAAACAGACCCAAGGCTGTTCCCATCCTCCCAAACAGACCCAAGGCTGTTCCCTGCTGTTCATGGGGACTTTGAGCTGTGCTCTCACAGCTCCCAGGTGGTTTCACCTTTGTGAGTCCCTTGTGCCACATCTTGAACAAGAAAAATCTGCTGACACTGGGGGGAGACAGCAGCTCAGCTTTGCTGCAGTTCCTCCTTCAGAGAGCAGCTGAGGGCCTGGAATTCTGAAGGAATCCTCAAATCCCCGGGGCTGGCACAGCCCTGCCAGCCCGTGCAGTGGCAGCTGTGCCCCATGGGGACCTTGTCCCCAGCCCAGAGCACTCAGTGCCACCTCCAGGCCTTCCCTGCACACAGAAAGGTCTTTATGGTTAAAAACATGTTTGAAAGAGGAAAAGCGGATTCAGTTCAGTTTCATTTGTGAGAGAGAAGAGGCAGCAAGGATAGAGGGCCTTGGAGTTCTTGGTGTGTCCCGGAATCATCAGGGTGGGAAGAGCCCTCCAGGATCATCCAGTGCCACCATCAGCCCAAAGGCTGTCCCCAGGTGCCACATCAACACCAGAGGATCTGCTCAGGAACCCTTGGAAATATCCCCATCCCAAAAAACGAGCCAGGTCACTGTACTGCCTACAGAGCCCAGGGTCTCTCCTCCTCCCCAGTTCCATAAAATTCCTCTTTTCCAAAGCAGGGTTCAGGCTGTGCCTCCCTTGCACAGCTCTGTGTTTCTGATATTGCCATTGTCACCAGTGCCAAGTGTTGAAGACACAAAATAAAAAGAGTAAAATTAAAAACTGGCCTCTAAATTTTCAATGTTTGCACCTTTAGGGTTCCTTTTATTCACATGAAGGCTGTTTGGGTTTAAACAAAAGCTGCCATCCCTGTGGAGGGATCAGGAAAGGAGCTGTTGGGATGTTAGGGGAAGCAAACCAAACTCTGCCAGGTTCTGAGGTGAATCAAGGGGCTGCTGGCATAGGGAGCTCAGGGCTCTGGGCCTTCTGAAGTCTTAAAATGAAAATAGGAACCTTAAACAGGGTAGTTTTGTCATTAGACTTTAGCTGAGATAATCTCAGCTTAATTTTAGTCCCACTGAAAGCTTTTAGTCTGAGACTTGTGCCAGAATCACCCCAGGCTGGGGCTGGAGGGAGGCAGAGCTCCCTGAGCAGCATCCCAAGGGATCCAACATCCAAACAGGGATCCCAACATTTCCCTCCCTGCTTTTCCTCTTGGGAATCAGCAATTCCCCCTGCTTTTTCCTGCTCTGCAGATTCCTTCAGTTCCCTGGGATCCCAGCTCCAGTCATGGCAGCATTGCTTTAACTTGGTGCATCCTCTAATTATAGCACGTAGGACATAGTTAATTAGCTAATATTCATTAACTATTATTAACCTCAGCCTTCAAGGCTAATGGGGAGCTGCTGGACCTCACATGAGGGAGCTGGAACATCCTGAGTGGGAAGGACCCACAGGGATCATCCAGTCCCACCCCAGTCCTGCCCAGACCCCCCAACAATCCCAGTTTTTCCCTGGGAATGTTGTCCCAACACTCCTGTCCAGCCTCCTGTCCCAGTTTTTCCCTGGGAATGTTGTCCCAACACTCCTGGAGCTCTGTCCAGCCCTGCTGACCCAAGGAGATTGAGAACTCTGCGTTTTCCTCTTCCATTCATTCCCACATCCTGACAATTTTTAAGACAAGGCAGGATGGCAGGAGCAGCTCCTTCCTGGAATTCCTGATGGGTTTTGGGGGAGCAGATGCCAGTGGGAACCATCTCAGGATCATCCAAACACACACAGAGATTCCTTCCTGCAAAGCTCTGTCTGGGAGCTGAAGGGAGATGTGAAA